CTAATCAATGACATGATAGCTTTTGTTGTTTATCGATTTCCTAAGCCATTCTTGAATTGATCAATGCAATTTGATTTGGCGGAGTAGGCTGTGGTTCATTCATCGGGGCCATTGGTATCTGGGTAATAGTGAAGACAATGNAATGACGGAGTGTACTGTGTAGCAGACACGCTTGATGGTAAATTTAAGGAGCTTACTTCGTGTATTGACCGAGTGAAGTGCAGATGAAAAAAGCAGAACCGAATTGATCTCCGTCGGTTATTATCGAAAATCAGGGTATCAAAAAGGATTGACCTGATATTATGCGAATACCGTGAACTGTTTACTAAGCGTGATCTTCCTGATCGTATGAGTGTGTGTTTCTGTGCCGTTCGGATACGTAATTGAGTGCGTACATCGAGACCGTGGTATGCTGCATTCGTGAATGGGAATTAAACTCAACCTTGCTAAGGCTGGTGCGATCGTGTTGCTTTTTTCGGTTTGGATTCGTTTGGCGGTGGACGATGGTGTTTACGCACGTCTACTCGAATGCCAAATTTGGTACACTACCGAACCTTGGGACGATGTACATATTGGTTGTTTTTTAGGGCGTGAGAACGGATAATTGGGTCTTTTTATTATTTTCCTCTCCTTGAGGTTCACAACAGTCTTCTAAGTGGAAAATGTGGACAATGGACACAATATATTGTGCTTATATTGAAATTACGAAGTGGGCCAACTGGAAATTTCGTAGAAGTAAGACTAGATGGAGTCGTTCGTGTGAGAATACTGAACATAATATCGTCAGTGTTGTTGATAAGTGGCGATTTTTAGTGATCAGGTTTGACAAATGGAAGAGAAATAGAGTGATAACTGTCTTACATACCGTTCTGTTGCTGGAAACGGTAAAAACCCGTGACTATGTTTTTAATAACATTTACATAAGCATTCTTTCGTGTTTTAGCACTGGTTTAATGTTACAGTTAGATAATGCAGTAGTTTTTTGGTATGTACCATTGAATGCCTCACCATACTGTTGACCATAAATACTGGTGGGTTTACCTTTACCGTGGCCTCGCAGATTTCATGCGTGAATGACGATATGGAAACAGATGAAAATCGCCACTGCTTGGCACTACGACATTTTGCATGCCTTCAGCTTACCTCATGTGCACCATACGACGCGCATCTTGCATTTCGTCACTAGTCTGCTAGGTGCCCCCTACGGTTGTTGAGGTTCCTGCTTATGCCTTAAGTGAACTAAACATAATGATAATTTTCGAGAGTTGATAGGATCCACCAGCTCATTGGGTTAGTTGATCTTATTGAACGAACGTGTACAGAAAGACGGGGGAGGGGGGCATTCAAATTAAAAATAAGTCAACTCCACGACAAGTGAACTGATTGCGTCCACTAATTTTTGGTGCACGAAACGAGATGATGTAATCTGGATAACGATACACCACTAACCACGGACAGTTTCATCAGTTGTTCTCAAATAAAAACGACAAATACGAAGAAGCTCAAATGGTCACAAGAGAATTTTTGACATGACCGATATAAGCCAAGTTGCTTACAGAAAATTTGTCATCAAGAACCAACGGGACCTGAAGTCAAAAAGACAGATTGGTCGCAAATAGTATCGCACCTTATCGCGACGACGAATATTGAACCGTTTTAATATACGGATCGGAAAGCCCACCCCCGTTCACTACTGATGTGACTTACGGACAAACGATCGAATCCCACTTGTATAGTAGAATGTAAGCAGTGTGCAGTCACGTATGTTGGACGAACAAACTAAAGAATTGCATAACCAAACACCTGAAAACACAGTGAAGTTTAGGATTTTTGAAAGGGAATAGATTATCGCTGTACATTCCACTTCAAAAGCCCATTATTGTAGAAAACAGTCTCAGGTCATCTAGGGAATGATTAATTCATCGTTATTGATATTGTAGTAACTTCTGTAGGCATAAAGCCTACATTTCAGTTAAAAATATACAAGTTGGAGAGAGGAAAAAAATAAAAAAGATTCAAATCCCGAAACTGTTAACTAGAATACGTGCTAATGAGGGCACCGTAGAGTTACGATGTGTGTTTATTCGAGAGGGAACACAACGGTATTGAGCTCTAGTTGATGGATAAGAACAACAAGATGTTAAATCTGCGTGTATCTGATGTGTGGAGTCGATAAGAATCTTGTGTGCAAACTTTTCACATGCATTCAATGACGTTCGCGCAAGTGAGTTACCAATTCCTGCAGCGGGATTAAAGAGATGCGGCTAATGATGGTCAGTCCACGTCGAAACAGTTTGAAGTCATTCTTTAGGAGATTGAAAAACAACTGGTGAATAATAAAGTAAAATAAATAAAACGTCTTTTTACTTCCTTTTTATTTATTAACTTTACAAACATTCAGGAAATGAGGGGGGGGGGCGAGGTCTGGGAAGATGGATGACGGGGGAGCGGGACTCCCAGATCACAAGTTGGTGACCTAACCACTTGGCCACCACCGCCAAGAAAAACACTGATACACGAATTTGGAAATAATCGATTATTGAATACGAAACTGGCGAAGTTTACGGATATGGAAATAAAGTCGTCGAATTCTATTTCGCCGAGCTTGGTAATTTTGTTTGCAAACGTTTCATCATCAGTGCTTGTGAAGTGGCCACTTCACAAGCACTGATGTTGTCACTTCGGCTGGTGATGAAACGTTCGCAAACAAACTTCCAAGCTCGGCGAACAGGTGAAACAGAACTCAGTTCACTCGAGCTACGAGGACCGATTTCCAATACTATGTCAAAAGTCGTCGAAGTTTATTGACGATATTTTGAATGTGGGAGGTCCATTTAAGATCACCATTGATAAAAAAACCCAGGTATTTAACACAGCTTACTCGGGAACCTGGTTCAGATGGGTAAGAAGAACGTGATAATGTCAGAGAGTGGACTGCATTTTGAAGTATCCCAGAGTTGTTCGCCAATGTTTTGGATTTCTTCAGACCTAACCTGGTACACTGAGTTCCCCCAGAGAAGTCACCAGCAAGCCAAGCTAATAACCATCTAGGACAACCAAAGGTCTTCAGTTTACGAAGAAGAATGTAACGAGGAATAGAATCAAAAGCAGATGATTAGTCCAGAAACCCAGCGAACAGATTTCACAGTCATTCATGGATTTGATAATTTATGTACAAGTAAGGAATCTGAATTTATTTGGTTCATAGGAAAACTGAAGAGGATCATACGGGACATTAAGTGAGGATTTAATGAGTTTAAGAACAACACATTCTGTTACCTTAAGTCCAACAGAAGTTAAAGCCATCGGACTGAAGCGCTTGGAGTAGATAGAGGATTTGAGAATGGGAACAGTTATTACTGGTTTCCAGAATCTAGTGTCGAGCATGTTTTTAAGGAAGCGTTAAAAAAAGATACTGAT